GAGGAGGAGGAGGAGGAGGAGGAGGAGGAGGAGGAGGAGAGGGATCCTGAGGGATACGGTTCCTGGAAGCCGAGCCTGGGGATGGCGAGGGGGTCGGGCCCGGACGGCGCCGGCAAGGAGCCCCCCCGCCTGCCACCGCTCCGGGAGAACCGATGGTTGGTGGGGGTAGGGTTTGGGCGTCGCCACCGAACCCCTCCTCCTCCTCCTCCTCCGCCTCCTCCTCCTCCTCCTCCTCCTCCTCCTCCTCCTAGCCCCTCTGTGGCCCCAGGGGGCCGTTGAGGGCAGCGCACTTCAGAGGGGCGCAGCTGCCCCGAGCTTGGCATGCCATGGCGCGACTGGCACGCGACCGCGCCCTGGCGGGATTCGTCTGCATCGAGGTGGACGACGAGGGCGGCGGAGCCCAGCCAGTCTGTGCTGGTCTTCGTGGAGGCGGCCACCGCGGCGGCGGTCTCAGCGGCGGTGGCGGCGGCTGTATCGGCAGTCCAGCCAGTCCCCGCAAAGCCGAGGCCGAGGCCATCATGTGCGCCGACGTTGGCATTGGCCATCGAGGACGGCGTGATGGAGCTGGCGGCGCCACCATCTCCACCGCCTGGACAGTGGACGCCGGTGGCATCTCCGAGGCCGGTGCAGCTTCGCAGCAGGAGCCAGTCAGTTGTGAAGCACTTGGAGAAGAAGGAGGTGGGCACGCAGTTGATGGAGATGCCGATGCAGTGGATCGGCGCGAACTCTGTCAGCCACGCCGTGCACCAGGAAAAGAGCAAGAAGGACAAGAAGGAGAATAAGGACAAGAAGGAGAAGAAGTACCAGTCGAAGAGGGTCGCCAAGAAGGAGGGGCGGGAGTGCGGGAGGGGGAGGAGCCGTTCCCGCTCCAGCCCGCCTCGGCTGGTGGACTGAAGGTTGAGGACCTCTTCGACATCTACAGTGACGACGGGCACGAGGAATGCCATGACGGCGACGACACGGCCGACAGCTGGGCGTGCTGGCATCGTGGCAAGGTGCCTGTGGACCCCTTCATGGACGCGCGTTGGCTGAACAACGAGGCCTTCGTGAAAACGGAGCGTGCGCGGGAGGCTCGCCTCGCCCTATGGGGGCTGCACGCGGACGAGGTTGTCGGCGTCATCGGCCTCAGCAAGGAGGTGCTCCCCGACCCCGGGGGCGAAGGCGGCATCGGCTACGCGACCGAGAAGGGCTAATTACCAGGATATCAGCAGTGATGAGGAGGTGATGCACGAGGAGTTCGGGGCGCTGCCGCCCTTCCCCGTGTTTGAGGTGGCGGACAAGAGTGGCAAGGCCCAGGACTTCGCGGGCGAGTCGGCGCAGAGCGCGGCGGACCGCGAGCGGGACAAGGAAGCGTTGAAGGAGGAGCTCTTCGCCCACGCCCGGAGGCTCGTGGGGTACGGGGTGCTGGACGAGGACATCTTGACGCAGCTCGCGGACGCCTTCGCCTCAGGCTCGACAGGTTCTTCGGCCTCGTGACCCCGAAGAGCTACAAGGTCGAGAAGGGCTTCAGTGTCGACTCGGCGCTGGGCTAGGAGGTCAGGAAGCACTCTCAGGCTTGAGGGGGCTGCGGGGGGGGGTCTGCTTCAGTCAGCGGTGGTCCTGGCCGTCCTTAGGGTCGGGCTCCCCTCTCGGGTCTGCTGGTTTTCGGCCCCTTTGGGGCCGTGGTGGCGGGTTCGCCCGCCTGGCGCTGACGGGAGTGGACAGTCCTCCCGTCGGGGGCGCGGAGGTTTTCGCGGCCGTAGCGCCGAGCGTTCGGGTCCCGACCCGTTCGATTTAGTCAGACCCTCAGACCCTCCTCCTCCTCCTCCCCCAGCCCGGACGTCGCCAGCAAAGAGCCCCCCGGGATCTCTTCCCCCCCTCGGGGGCCCGCTGTGCCTCTGCGCCGGCGCGCGCCCCGGCGCGGCGTCGGCCCCGCCCCGGGGCGGAGGGCTGTGGCCCTTTGGGGGTCCACGACCCTCAGCGATCAAGATTGCTAACATGAAAAGTCAATCCTCCTCCTCCTCCTCCTCCTCCTCTTCCTCCTCCTCCTCCTCCTCCTCCTCCTCCTCTTCCTCCTCCTCCTCCTCCTCCCTCCTCCCTCCTCCTCCCTCCTCCCTCCTCCTCCCTCCTCGTCCTCCTCCTCCTCCTCGTCTTCCTCGTCCTCCTCGGGGCGCGTGCTGGCCCGTGGGTTTCGGATGGAGGAGCAGCGACGCCGACAACCACGGTGCCTCCCAGAGCCGGAGGCCGGGGACGTCTCGAGCGGGAGGGGGGGGCCACACCACCAGGGAGGCCCCCCCTGCCTCCTGGCATCTCCGAGCCCTGCTGGTGTTGGTGTCGCCTGTCCTTGTTCCTGTGAGATCTGGCCGGGCGTAGTTCTTTTCCTTCACACCAGACGTGTTCGCCCCGTCTCGGGTATAGGGAGCCTGGAGACAGGGGTCAATGCAAACGGGGGCCCGCCAGTGCGCTGGATCTCGCAGGATCCTGCAAAGCCAGGGTTGCACTGACCCGGGCTGGCGCGCAGGATGCTGCAGGTTTTTGCAGGGTCCTGCAAAGCCCGACTGATCCGGGTCTGCGCTGACCTGGGTCAGTGCGTCCCCGATCGGGCCTCGGGGCCTCGGGACCAACACAGATCGATCTGGCTTCAACAGTGCCGCGGAAGGATGGGGTCTGGGGCTCTCGTCGTGTTTGTGTTCGCGATGCTGCCCTTTTGTTCGCAACGTCGGGTCTTAGGGTTTACCCCGCTCAGCTCCGCCCATAGCACTCGGACTGGACGAAAGGGAGGGATGGGGAAAGGGTGGGTACGAAATCTGCTGCATGCAGCTGGTTTCGGCCCCGCCGCAGGGCCCATCCCTCGATATACATGGGCGCCTCTCAGCGCCAGGGGGCGCCAGGAAGGCCAGCCACGTGAGCTGACTCAATACCCCATCCTGTGCTGTCCTGCCCCTTCGCCCCCCCCCACGGAGCACGCTGCCGCTGTCGGCCCTCATGGCGCCGCCTGCGCCGCCGGTCGAGGGGCCTCGGGGCGGCGCACACCGGGAGGCGGCGCGAGGGGGCAGCCTCCGAAGCGGGCGGGGGCTTTGTTTGGAGCCCCCGTCCCGGGGGTCCGGCGCGGCAAGAGGAGAGCATCGGCGCCACCCAGCACACAAACACACACACATGTGTGTGTGTGTGTGCGTGTGCGTGTGCGCGTGTGTGTGTGTGTGTGTGTGTGTGTGTGTGTGTGTGTGTGTGTGTGCGGCGCCCCCCGCCGCTGGCACCCCGGCGCAGCAGCCGCCGCAGTCCCCGCCGGCGGGGCTGGCCGCGCCACCCGCTTCGGGCGTGGCCCGTCCCCCCGAGCGGCCCTCGCCCTTCCCCCCCTCCTGCGGCCGCCCTCCCCCTCGCTGCTGAACGGTATCCCCGCTTCTATGGCACAGTTCGCTAAACGGTGGCACGATTCGCTGCACGGTATCCCCGTTCATATGGCACAATTTTCGCTGAACGGTGGCATAACATGCTAAACTTTCTTGCGTTGAAGCACACTTCGCTGAACGGTATCCCCGTGTATATTCACCAGCCTCGAACTTATCCCTATCCCTAAGATCGACACGCTAAAATTAGATGGCAATCTTGGGGATACACCCTCAGAAACTGAGGAAACCCCTGATATCGCCATCGTGATGAGGCGATGCCCAACATAGGGATAGGGATATGTTCCAGGCTGGTAATATATGGCTCTTCCGCCAGCGCAGTTGCTCCGCCCAGCCGCCGCGACGCAGAGAGCGCGCGTCGCGCCCTCCCCCCCGGGGGGCGGCGCGCGCGCCGGGAAGTCTTAGAAGAGCACGCGCTCGGTGGCGGGCGCCTCCGGTCCACGCCGCTCGGGGAGCGATGTGCTGCAAGACTCACCAGCCCCGAACGTATCCCCATCCCTAAGATTGGCACGTCAAAAGGCGATGACAATCTTAGGGATGCGCCCTGGAAAACTAAGGGAACCCTTAAGAATGGCATCGTGATGAGGCGATGCCCAGCTCAGGGATAAGGGTATGTTCCAGGCTGTTAATAGGGCACACGCTCGGTGGTGGGCGCCTCCTGACCACACCGCTCGGGGAGCGATGTGCTGCACGGCGGTTTCACGATAAATGCCTGGGCCGGACAAGTTGGCATCCACGGAGGACATCGAGTCCTAAGTCGGGCGCGCGTTTTGCAGGAGGAATGCTCAACACAAACAATCAGAGCATAGTGTCGGACACGTCCCTCTGCAGGAGGAGTGCTCACACATAACGAACAGGGAGAAGTTTAGGGACGATGTCCGACCATGTTTTAGCATGTTTTGAGCCTGTTAGGACAATGTCTGCCTTTTCGTCCAGAGCCCGCCTGTGGGAGGACGCGCCCGACCCAAATCTTGTGCTCGTCTGTCCCTGCGCGCCCCGGCGCAGCCTCGCGACAGGCCGCGGCCGGAGCCCCCGACGCCATGCCTCGGCGGCGCCGCTCGGGCCGGGCCGGGCCGCGAGCTGTGTGGGCCCCCCCGGCGACCGAGACCGGATCGGAGCCGCCCACCACGAAGACAGAAGCGGCAGCGCCCGGACCTCGGGGCCTGCTTGGGGAGGCCGCCCCGCCCTCCTCCTCCTCCGCCGCCTCCTCCTCCTCCTCCCCCCTCCTCCCCTCCTCCTCCTCCTCCTCCTCCCTCCTCCTCCTCCCCTCCTCCCTCCTCCTCCTCCTCCTGCTCCTCCTCCTCCTCCTCCTCCTCCTCCTCCTCCTCCTCCTCCTCCTCCTCCTCCTCCTCCTCCTCCTCCCCCTCCTCCTCCTCCTCTCGTCCAGGGGGGGGGGAACTACAGGCATAATTCGTCGTCGATTCCCGGGAACACTCGGGGAAAAAATGTGGGGCCTAGAAGAGCGGGGAAATAATTAGAGGGGATTTGGGGACTTGTGTGTGTATCTATTGTGTGTCCTTGGGCTCCTTTGCCCGTGCGCGCCGCCAAGCTTGGGGTGGGCGAGCAGACGCTGGCGCCAGCGCTCGACTGCACGCTGGGAGGGCCGTCGGGAAGGCAGCGCATCGCCAAGATGCACGCCGAGCAGGAGCAGAAGAAGAGTGCCGTCGAGCAGGCGCAGCTCGCGCGCGAGCTGGCGGTGGAGGCGAAGGCTCGCGAGGAGCAGTCCTGTCGTCGCCCTCCGCCTTCTCGTCCCATCGCTCCCCTGAGATCCGAGGGTTGCTGTTTTTCGCCCCTGGGTCTTTTTTCCTGGCTTCGGAGCTAGGCGCCCTCACATGTCGATCCGGCTCGAGAAATGCTGCAGAAGCACTGGGTCTAGGGCTTCAGTCGAGATGTTTCGCGACGCTGGGCCTGTTTTTTTCGCAGCCTGGGATCTGTTCACTGGGGGCGCCCCCGAGGCTGCGTGCCCACGTGGGTGGTTCCCCCCCCCTAGCCGCCACCGTGCCGCCGGGGCACGGAGTGGGCGTGTCCGCAGGTCCTGTGCCAGGTCCTCTGAGCCCCACTCCTCGCTCCTGAGGATCCTGTCAGTCGCCGAGCGCGCTCCACCACTCGCAGAGCGCCTGCTCGCAGGCGTCCGAGCAAAAAAACACAGGCCCGCTTGGAGGCAATTTCTCGCAGGTCCTCCGCGGGGGATCCAGGCCGTTTGCGAGTAGCTACCTTGCGGAGCAGTGGAGCGTGCTCGTCCAGTCAGGGACCCGGGCCCCTCGCCCTCAGATCTCCGGGGGCGTGGCGCGTGCAGCCTGGGACGTGGCGCCTGCCCCCTGGGGCTTCCCGCGTGCCCTCCTGGGCTCCCCCGCGTCTCGTCGCGTGATTTTTTCGGGCACCAAGACTTGGCATCGCTCGGACGTGTGCATTTCTTTCGGCGAGAACCATCGAGGACGATCCCGGACCATCGAGCAACAAAAAACACGCACGAAACCGAAAAATGCACGGGAAATGGACGTCCGAGCGACGGCAAGAAGAGGGCACCACGACGGGCCGCGAGAGCCTCGAGAGGCCCCCCAAGGCGGTCCACGAGAGCCCCGGGTCGCCGAGCAGTCGCTCCAGGCGGCCCAAGAGACCCCAAGACGCCTCATAAGGGGCCTCCAAGGGGCCTCCAAGGGGCCTCCCAAGAGGGCCCCAAGAGGCCTCCCAAGAGGGCCCCAAGAGGCCAAAACCATTGATTTCCTTGTTTTTTTGTATTAGAAATATATGGGGAAAAGCATTGTGGCGTCCTCGCCGTTTCAGCTTCCCGACGCTCCCAGACGGCTCTAGAGGCCCCCAAGACCGTTCCAAGATGGCCCAAGAGGTCTCCAAGTGGGCCCCCAAAAGGCCCAAGAGGGCCCCAATATTGCCCCAGAGAGCCCCAAGAGGCGCCCAGGACACCCCAAGAGGCCCTCGAGAGGCCCCAAGAGGCCCCGAAGCGGCCCCCAAGGGGCCTCCAAACTGCCTCCAAGAGGCCCTCGAGAGGCCTCCTACGAGAGCCCCACGGACGTCCAATGGGCTCTATACTCACCGCCCAGGCACGGTGGCGTGATGGATCATCATCTTCCATCCCTTGTCTTCCTTGCGAACGGCTCCTCCCCGTCGCACCACCAGACGTGTCCGTAGGCAGGGCCCAGCGTTTCACTCGAGACTTCGCTGCGATGTGCTGTCCTGCAGCTTGACGCGCAATGCCAACTGTCGCACGGAGGGAGGGCGGTACCTTTCCAACATCTGGTTCTCGCTGTGGCTCCGCGCACTGTCGCGTTAGAAGTTTTCGGCAGCGTGCTTCCGCTCCAGACTGTCAATCCGCTAGTTCGTGCCCCTTCCTAGCTGTTACGCTGGTGCGGATTTCGCCGCCTCGTTGCTTACGGAAAAGTGTCCGTTCCAGAAGGGGGGGGGGGTCGCATGCGACGTCCTCAGCAGTGAATGCCCCACACACAGCACCGTGCAACTGCTGGTCGGATGGAGGGTTGCTCCTGTTCAAAGCCGGGCTCTGGCACGAGGTCGCGAGACCTTCGTGGTTCTCATGGCCACACATTGTACAAGCTGTGTGCAACAGCTGCACGGGCGAAAGGCAGTTCCTCTTTTCTGTTTTCCATCGTTGCAGCTCGAAGGGCGAGAGCGGTTTGTGTCGAGACGGAGCTCCCGCCCGGTTGTCGGGCCCATGAGGCGCCAGTCTTTCAAGGATGGTCCTCGGCGCAGTGGAACAGAGCTCTTGCGTGGGCCAACGAGGGGGGGGGGCGTCGGACAGGAGGGTGCATGGCAACGACGTTGAATCATACTGGGTTTCCTCCTCCTCCTCCTCCTCTTCCCCCTTCTCCTTCTCCTCCTCCTCCTCCTCCTCCTCCTCCTCCTCCTCCTCCTCCTCCTCCCCCCCCTCTTCCTCCATCCCTTTGTACACAGTCTCCCCCTGTCGCACCTCCAAGCGTGGCAGTCGTGCGGGCCAGGCGCTTCGCCTGAGACTTCTTTACCATGTATGATCCTGAAGCTGGGAATTGGCTTCCCCCCCTCCTCCTCCTCCTCCTCCTCCTCCGCCTCCTCCTCCTTTGACGCCTCCCATGCATAATTTTCGCATGCAGATTTGTTTGCCGATGTCTTCCAATGCAGGCGCCTCGGCGCCCACTCCGCCGCGCCTTCATGGCGCCACACGCGCGTAGCCGAGTCCGAGTCCAAGTCCGAGTCCACTGATGATGGGCGGGCCGTGTTCAGAATGCGGTTATCGCTTCAGCGCCGCGCACATGCGTCCCAAGAGTTTGCAGAAGCTTCGCGGATGGAGGGCGGGTGGTTTTCAACATTTGGTTCTCGCCTCAGCGCCGCGCGCAGTCGTCCTACAGCTGTGCAGGAGCTGCACGGGTGGAGGGCGGTACCGTTTCAACATGTGGTTCTTGCCCCAGTGCCGCGCACATTCGTTCTCAGAGATTGCATCAGCTTCAAGGGTTCTTATGGCTGGCGTCGCAGAAATGGTGTTTCGGCACGATGTAGGATGGCCAGGGCGCAACAGTTACGTTGGATTCGCGGTGTTGAAGACCCAGCATTGGTGTTCTGGCACCGTTCAGGATTTCCAGACGGTTGTCCTCCGACGGGGCATTTCCCTCAGTTCCAATGAACTCTTGTAGGGGTTTATGATGAGGGAACTCGGACGGAGCGTTGATTGAGACATCGTTGATGGGTCTTGGGTTTGCCATGGTCTTCGTCCTCCTCGTCCTCCTCGCCCTCGTGCCCCTCCTCTTCCTCCTTGTCATCCCTTTTCTCCACTTTCTGCACTCCTTACCCTCCTCCTCCTCCTCCTCCTCCTTCTCCTCCTCCTCCTCCTCCTCCTCCTCCTCCTCCTCCTCTCCTCCTCCTCCCCCTCCTTCACCTTATCCATGTCTATACTCCTTTCCTCCCGTTTGGCACTTCCATCCCCGTTCATCCCCCTCTCCCGTCCCCGTTCACCGCCTTCTCGTCCTCCTTCTCCTCCTCCTCTTCCTCCTCCTCCTCGTCTTCCTCCTTCTCCTGCTCTTTCGCCTCCTCGTTTCCTCTCCCTCCCCCATTCACCCTGCCCTCTCCCATCTGATCTGTCCTTCTTCCCACCTCCCGCCCGTTCTTCGCCACCGCTTGCAGGCTGCGCTTTTGGATCATCCAGCTTCTCGGACGCAGCCCCATCCTCGGTGCTTCCGCTTGTGATGTTTTCGCGAGCAAATCCCTCGCCACCGCCTCCCCTTTTATCCTTTCCCTTGGCTTTGGATCCGCCGTACGTTAGCTGATGCTCTTGTTTTAAGTGTGTCGGCATTGCGCCCCGCGCAATGCCAAACAGTAGGGCGCAAATGTCCGCATCGGCAAGGTGGGGCGGATAGCCAGAACCATACGACGAAACAGGGCGGACAACGCACGCCGGAACTCGACATCAGCGGAGCTCGAACTGCAGGGCGAACACTGACCGCCCCGCGTACGACATCGCCCAACGTGCGGCGCATCCGACGTCAGGGTCCCAATGTGCACCCCCACCCCCCTCCCGTCTCCGAGGTAAGGTGTTACTGCGGCCCGTTGGTTGTTGCTGCGGCCCGGTGGGTGTTAGTACGGCCAGGGCTCCTCCGGAGTGTATTAATTCACGAGTGCGGTGAAGGGGGGGGGGGGCTCCAAAGAGGCTCCCCCCCCTTCTCCAAAGAGGCTCCCCTCCCCCTCTTCCCCCCCCCTCCCGTCGCCTCTCGGTGCAGCCCCCCCCCCCCCGCCGTTTCCACCACCCCCCCCCGCCCCCTTCCCAGACCCCAAACGTTATGATTTTTTCATGACGCGACCCCCAGAGGTCCGGACCCATTCCCAGGGACTGGTTTTTCATCCTGAGTCGTTTTTTGACGGTCCTGAGGGCCGGTAAGGGCCCCCGGAGGCCGAAAATAGCGAAAAACCTGCCGTCGTGATTTTTTCATGACTCGAGGGGGTCTGGGTTTGCCCCCCGCCCGAGGAGGCCGAGCGCTCCCAGCGGCGGGAGGAGCTCTTCCAGAAGCTCGAGGCGGCGAGGCAGGAGCGCGAGCGGAGCGCAGAGGCGGCGGGCGCCTCGATCGGGGGCAGGGCGCGAGGGATAGGCGCTGGGGCAGGGCGCGAGGAGGGCAGCGCGGAGGCAGGGAAGGCGCCGAGGAGGAGGCAGGGAAGGGTTAACGAGGAGGAGGGGGAGGAGGAGGAGGAGGAGGAGGAGGCGGAGGCGGAGGAGGAGGCGGAGGGGGGGGAGGAGGGGGAGGGGGAGGGGAGGGGAAACATGGGGGAGAGGGTATGATGGGGGGGCGGAGACGGCTGCGGAGAGAGAATGGCGGCAGTGGAGGAGGAGAAGGAGGCTGCTGGACGTCTGACAATTGGTGGCGACAGAGGACAGGCGGAGGGGAGTAAGTTAGAACGGGGATTACGAGGTGTCTGAGGGGAACGTATGTACTTTGGTAGGGAGGAGCCACGATGATGTTGTTTCTGCTTAATGTGTTTGTCTGAATTACTGATGGTGTTGATGGTGACGATGATATTGATTATGTTGATGTTGATGATGATGATGGTGATGATGCTGCTGCTGCTGCTCATGATAATGATGTTGAAGATGCTGATGATGATGATGATGCTGAAGCTGAAGCTGACGGTGATGCTGCTGTTGATGTTGCTGATGTTGCTGGTGGTGGTGGTTGTGATGATGATGATGGTGCTGATGCGTATGATTATGCTGATGATGATACTGATGATGATGATGTTGATGTTGATGATGTTGAGGATGCGGGTGTGGATGCTGATACGTGTGATGATTATGAGTATGATTATGACGATGGTGATGATTGTACTGAAGGTGACAATCATGCGGGTGGTGATGATGATGATGAGGATAATACTGATGATGTCAATGATGATGATGTTGATGATGGTGGTTGTGATGATGTTGTTGATGTTGGCGATGGTGAGGATGCGGATGTGGATGATGAGGAGGATGGCTATGACGATGGCGATAGTGGTGGTGGTAACGATGCTGATGCTGTTGATGATAATGATGATGCCGATAATGGTAATGCTGGTGACGATGATGGTGATGGTGATGGTGATGGTGATGGTGGTGATGATGATGATGCTGATAATGAGGGTGACTATGATACCGGTGCTGCTGATGCTGAGTATGATGATAATCATGATGATGTTGATGATGATGGTGATGCTGGGTGTGGTGGTGGTGGTGGTGACGATGCGAATGATGATAGCGATGATAATGATGTCGATGCTGATGATGACGCTGATGATGCTGATGCTGCTGCTGCCGCTGATGGTGATGATGTTGGTGGCGGTGATGATGCTGCTGATGCTGATGTGGACGGTGGTGGTGGTGATGTATTGGACGAGGATGACGATGGTGAAGTTGATAACGATGGCGATAGGGAGGGTGATGGTGATGCTGCTGCTGATGATGATGGTGGTGATGATGATGAGGACGATGAATATGCTGCTGCTGATGATGATGATGATGATGATGATGATGATGATGATGATGATGATGATGGTGATGGTGATGGTGATGGTGATGGCGATGGTGATGGTGGTGGTGGTGGTTAAGGTGATGATGATGAGGAAGGGGAGGAGGATGAGGAGCAGGAGGAGGAGGAGGAGGTTCGTCGCGGCGTTACTGGCCGTCGGTTCTCCCTCGAAGGCGGTCAAGATGACGGCAGCGGTCGGTGCGGACAGACTTGTTGCGCCACGCGAGCGGGAGGAGGAGGAGGACCGGGCAGGAGGGTAGGACGCGGAGGAGGGGAGGTGGATGAGGGAGGAGAAATGGAGGGGAGGAGTGAGATGGGATGGGGAAGAATGAGAGGCAGAGAGGAGTCGAGGACCAAGAGAGTGAGACGAGGCGGATGGGGATGAGGTGGAATAGGCAGGACGAATTGGGGAGGATATGGATGAGGGAGGTGGTAAGGCAAGTATGCAGGAGGAAGCAGGGAAGGATGATGAGGAGATGGATGAGAGGGGATGGGAGAGGAGGAGGCAGGAGGAGGAGGAGGAGGAGGAGAGGAGGAGGAGGAGGTGTAGGAGGAGGAGGAGGAGGAGGAGGGTGAGGAGGAGGAGGGGTAGGGAGGAGTAGAGGAGGAGGAGGAGGAAGGAGGAGGAGAGGGAGGAGGAGGGAGGAAGAGATGGGAGGAGGAGGGGTGGTATGAGATTTCCTATTACCGCTTGATGAGGCGGATGCTTTGGAAGAGGAGGAGGACGGATAGGAGGAGGAGGAGGAGGAGGAGGAGGAAAGGGAGGAGGAGGAGAAGGAGGAGGAGGAGGAGGACGGGGAGGACGGGGAGATGGGAGCGACGGCTCCAGCACAGTCGCGGGCCAACCTCTGGCTCGACCTCGAGGATGATGATGCTGCTGATGCTGATGATGTTGATGATGATGATGATGATGATGATGATGATGATGATGATGATGATGATGATGCTGATGATGATGATGATGATGATGACGTTGACGATGACGATGGTGGTGAGGGTGATGATGATGATGCTGCTGATCATGATGGTGATGATGATGGTGGTGGTGATGCTGATAATGGTGATGGTGGTGGTGATGATGAGGATGATTTGGATGAGGATGATGATGATGATGCTGATGGTGAAGAGGATGACGATGCTGATTATGATGCCGATGCTGATGCTGCTGATGATGTTGATGATGATGTTGTGCAGCTGATGATGATGCTGATGCTGACGCTGCTGGTGAGGATGACGGTGTTGATGATGCGGCTTATGCCATGCTGATGCTGATAATGATGGTTTCGATGCTGGTGATGGTAATGATGATGATGGGAATGGTGCTCACCACGACGTTGATGCTGATGGTGCTGCTGATGGTGAAGACGGCGCTGCCGATGATGATGCTGATGGATGGTGATGGGGATGGAGATAGTGATGGTGAGAGTGGTGTTGATGATGATGATGATGATGAGGATGAGGGTGAGGATGAGTAGGGAGTGGAGGATGAGGATGTGGATGATTATGAGGATGACCCTGATGCTGATGATGCTTATGCTCATTATGTTGAAGATGCTGTTGATGATGCTTCCGATGATGATGATGATGATGATGATGATGATGATGATGATGCTGATGATGATGATGATGAGGATGCTGATGGTGATGATGATGATGATGATGCTGCTCATGGTGGTGATGATAATGATACTGATGATGATGATGATGCTGATGATGATGATGATGATGATGATGATGACGATTCGGAGGAGAATGATGATGATGAGGAGGAGGACGGCGATAATCAGGATTCTGATGATGGTGGTTGTTGTTGTCGTGGCCGGGATGGAGCAGATGAGGATGATGTTGACGATGATGTTGCCGCTGCTGCTTCTGATGATGTTGATGATGACGATGAGGATGATGATGCTGACGACTAAGACGACGACGACGATGATTATGAAGATGGAGGTGAAGATGAAGACGATGCTGATGCTGATGATGATGATACTGATGCTGATGCTGATGCTG